GTAGGCAGAAAAATATTTTAGTACTAAGAAAGGGAAGAACCTTAAATATCTATACAAAATTTGGGGCAGCAAATTAAGAGATAAAGGATGATTTTAAATAACCTAATTAAAAAATCACCACATTTAAGCAATAGGAAATTGAGGTTAAATGAGGTTTAAAAGTATTTGCATCCTAGCAGTTATATTTCTTACTTTCAGCTTGGCCAATCCTAAATAATGCAGTGACTTCAAGAAAAAATAGAAGAATGGATTTTTTTTAACATGTGACAGTAAACGAGTCCATAGGTTTAGAATGTGGTATATTGACAGTTTTCATCTCTTTTCTTTCTCTACTTGTGTGAATAGAGATTCACTAAGGAGTTGAGGGCACATGGCTTTCATCCAAGTCACACGGATTGCTGGGCCCCACCCTCAGACTTCCAGTAGGTCTGAGGTGAGGCCTGAGAATTTGTATACCTGATGAGTAGCCAGGTGCTGATGCTGCTTTGGGAACCGTTATAGATCATTGGTTCTCAAGTTTCACTGCACATTGGAACCACCTGGAGACATTAAAAATGTGTGGATTCCACCCCTGAGGACTTAATTTGTATGGAGTATGGCCTGGGCATGAGGATTTTTTTAAAGTTCCCCAAGTAATTCTAATACACAGCAAGGTTTGAGAATCACTGTTCTAGATTTTATTATCCAAATGGAAAACATCAGTACCTAAATTTTAAAATATACAGCCAAGCACATAGTGGTGAATGTTCCTCTTGCTTTTCTCTACTGGTTCTCAAACTTGTCAGCACATTAGAATCATCCAGGGGTCTTTTGAAAGTTCCAAAGCCCAGACTGTACTGATGGTCAATTAAATCTTAATCAGTAGAGGTGGTATAGAGCATCATCAGTACTTTCTGAAGCTCCCTAGGTGAATACAATAAGCAAGTAAGTTTGAGAACCACTGCCCTAATTGTAAAATAAACCATAATCAGAGAAGACCCCTTTTTCAGGCTCTCCTCAGCAAGTTAAGAGCTGCTTTTAGCAGGAGATGCTGTACTTTCCGTTGCTGCCTACATCTTCCTCCTGCTGTAGCAGCTTGGCTTTTTAGGAACCATTAGGCTCATTGGGGTTTAGCTCATTGACGGCACCCTTCCTTAACATCAGTGTTTATCAACCCTGGATGTCTGCTAGGAATCACCTAGGAAGATTTTAGGAAATAGTGATGCCCAGGCCCTACCTCTAGAAATTTGTATTTAATTGTTCCGAATGAAGGTCCAGGCACTGGTATATTTTAAAAGCTTCCCCGGCGATTTTAATGGGCAGCCAGGGTTGAGAATCACTGCTTCTTCATTCTTGGTTCCTGTTCCCCTTTTCCAAAAACTCTAACCTTCTCAACCAATCCATTTCATCCTTTTTTTTCCTACTGCTTCCAGCATTTTTCTGTCTCACCCTCTTGCTAAATCTAGTCTCTTTCCTCCCTGGAAATCTCCTGTTTCTTTCTCTTCTTCCCTCCTTTTTTTGATGGTGGGGGAAGGAGTAATAGTTAATTTCCTTTTATAGCCATTTTTTTTCCTTGCCCTCTGCATAGCTAGCTACTATTACAACAACATATGGAATGATGTCAGATGCATAACATAATTGGTTAAGCTACTGGCCTCTTAGACTTCCATTTCACCAGCTGGGAACAAGGCATGCGCTAGTCTATGGAACAGATAATATCCATTTTCCATTTCAGGCTTAGTGCTATGACTTTACTAATCACTCTTCCAAAGCTGTACCTGTAAACTTCATATGCAAGCAAATCACCTGGGAATCTTGTTAAGATGCAGATTTATGATTAAGTCTGGGGTAGGGCCTGGAATTCTGCATTTCTAAGAAGTTCCCAGGAGATGTCAATTCTGCAGGTCCATAGACCATACTTTGATTGCCAAAGCACTGAACAACCTTGTGACAGGTCAGGTAAGGGCATCCAGCCTTGGGAGTGGGGGCTGGCTTTTAAGCTGAGAGTAGAAGCATGAGTTTGGCATTTTCTGGATGAGTATACAGCATGAACTCACTTATCATCGCAGGCAACTGAGATCTATTTCTTGTAAACTTAGATCAGCAAGCACAGTGTCTGTGTTGAAGGCAGCAGGCACAATTCAGCAGACACGTGGTTTCGCAGTGGTGACCAGACACCTACACACTGTACACCCTGCCCCTCATTATGTGACTCTTCATGACACAATTTACAATTATCTGAGAAGTAAAATGGATTACTACTTTTTTCTTTTTTCTTTTCAAAAAAGCTTTTGTAACTGAGTTCTCAAAAAATTAGAAAACCAGTTAAATTAGATATAAAATAGAATTAATGAATTCATGGAACACTCAAGAGGTTAAATATTTCTTCAAGACTCTGTTTTCTTAAGAAATAAAGTACTCTGGTAGAAAGGTAAGTGGCTTGGAAGTTTTGCTCTAATGGATGCCTAAAGCATTACACTTTTAGAGCTGCAGTGGAACTTGAAAGATCAACAGTCCCATTCTCCTTATTTTACTGATTAAGAAACGGGTCCAGATAAGTTCTTTCCCAAGCTCACAGCTAATTAGAAGCAGTACTTGATCAAGTAAGTGGCACGTGCAAAAGTTCAGTTAAGATTCAAAGAGTATTTCAGTCTACCACCAAGTAGCAGCATATATGTTGGGAAAGTCTAGCTTACTGTTTACTTCAAAAGTGTTTATTTTATCAATTATCAACTGATTTTATCTTTGGTTCCGAAAATTGGAGTGAAGAAAACTTACTTCCATATGTCATTGACTTCAGTGGGTGCAAACTCTTTAGACTCCAGTTGAATCATGGCAAAACCACCAATGGCATATAGGGATCCAGCCAGACTGACCAAACTGATGGAACTTCTTTCTTGGGGAAATTCAGTCATTACTTCCCATCTAGGAATAATTGAAAATACAGTCACTCTAGACTTAAAGAAATGCCAAATGTATTTACTGAACAATTATAGGAAATTATAATAAATTCAAGTAGCACAGGTACCCCGAATTAGATTAAGTTTGCTACTGGGTAATATGTAAATATTATTCCTTTATTTGAAAGATGTAACCAGATTATATATAAAGCTCTCAATATGTCAATCCTAAAATACTTCTCTTTCATCAGTTAGCACCTTCAGCAGTGATTATCAAACCATGTGCCATCAACAGTGGGGGTTTTGAGGCAATTCTAGGACTCTTAGGCCCTACTGTGTTGGATTTCATTTGAATGCTAATACAGATTTTTAAAACCTCTGATCTCCCCATCATTTCTCAAGAAATCCCCAAATCGTTTTCAATAAAGGAATATGACAAGGATAGTTTAGAAAGTAGGGTTGGGAAAATTTCTTTTGAATTATTTATACTTAACCTTTTTTTAAATAAAGTATTTAAGGGAAGTTTTTAACGTTAACAGCCATCTGAAATATAACAACTAAAGATAAAATCAATCAAATTAGAAGTATCAAGAGTCTAGAGTGTGTCATTTTGGTAGCTCTGAAGTCTATTAAAAGTAGACCTCATAGTTTAAAAACATATCTCTTTTTCTAATTACAGAAATATGTATATTGTAAAAAATTTGAAAAATTCCCTATGATCATATCCTCTAGACATAATCATAAACAATATTTTGGTATAATTTTGTCATTTTAAAACATAAATTTAAATATAGACATCTATACATATGGACAATAAGAACATATTTATAATTTTATGTGCTGCTGCTTTGATTTCTTTATATCATGAGTTTACCTATATTACATATTCTTCAAAATCATGATTTTTAATGATCATTTAAGTCCTATTCCATAGAAGTTCTTGCGATTTTCAGATACTAAAGTCTGTTTTGTCATCAGGCACACATGATTTATTAAAAAAGTAATAATAGTGCTCTAATTTTTTCTTCATTGCTAAACTAGGAATATAAAAACTATATACTCATCCAAATGTGTTAGCTCAAAAATTTGAAAGACTAATCTTATATAAATATTTGTCAAATATCTTTTCACATTAACTTTAAGCCAATAAAATCTCAAAATGAAAAATTTAAGAATATTATAAAGACCATAAAAGAAACTTCTGAAGCATTCATGTTCATGCTTTACAAATATCACAAAGTAAGGTGGAACTCTTTTCATCCATAAAGAAACTACATATTTCAAATCAAATAACTATAGAGACATGTATATCCACCTACATGTAGATAATTATTCTGAATTGTTACCTTTGTGCAACTAAGTTCACAAAGTTAATAACAAATACAAATTAAGCACTCCAGCATTAACTTGTGGGTCCTGTATTCCAAATTACAGATACACATAATGCAGCAAAATGTTAGGCATTTTTATACCTAGTAACAGCAAAAGAAACCCAGATGAAGATAATTCCTCTTTAATCCTTACTTTCCTGCATTCCGCTCCTCATTTCCTAAGTAGAAAGCTTAATTTTTATCTAAAGTTAAATGATTCATATGGTATAGTAAGATACAGTAACTCACTTATTGGTTGTGAGGTCAAAAGCTTCAACTGAAGCTGAAAGACCATCCTCAGTGACACCACCTGCAATTACAATTTTGCCTTTATGGATTGCCACTCCAAACATCGAACGAGGGGTTTTCATCGGAGCCATATCTTTCCAGTCTCCTTTTTTGGGGTTGAAGATAAACACCCTGTTTGTGCACTTTCTGTAAACATCAAAGACAATAAAATGGTCCTTTTAGAAACTTTCTTTTTTGAAAGAAGCAGCTTCACTACTTTGCTTCTAATATGAAATATGTAGTATAGCAGAAGATCAGAAAAACTCTAAAGTATTTTTAATCTGAACATATGCCACCATGTGAGGACCAAAACTATCACTTAATTATACTACTGGAAGGTAGGGTACTTTTACTTTTGGCAATTGCCTAGAAGCCCAAGCAGAGTAGATATTGACCCTATCTATTAGTAAATTCAATGGAAGACATGAATAGAGTTAAAAAAACCCCCACAAACCCTTTATTGTGCCTCAGTAACAAGTTTATTTAATTCATTATTTGAACATCTTAGGAATGAATCAATTAAAAAAATAATTAGGTGAGACTGTACCTATTTTACATTTAACTGTGTTATATGATAGCTCATTTCATTTTAGTCTATCACTAATATACCAATGTATTTTAAGAACTGTGATTGTAGATTAGATTTGAGCTGAGTAATGAGAACAGTTTTATATGCTAAATGCTATAGGAAAAACCTGGACTCATCTGAATTATTATTCTTAGTATGTTCTTTAATGTTTCCTTAAAGTTATCCATAATTTACTGATAAGAGTTCAGAATTCCAAATAATAATTAACTGGATATATTTGGTTAAGCCAAAATGCAAGCAAACAAAACCCCAACTTATAAGGACTTTTTTTTTTCTTTAATCTTATGAAAGACCAGATATCTGAAGCAGAATATATTTGACTATGAATATTAACTTTAAAACTTCTTGATAAGAGCATGATACAGAGTCATGTTCTTCAAATTAATTGGTGATAACTAGTGCAATTCAGTGCTTGCTTTTAGATAATGACTCATTTCAAAGTTCTTGACTTTGGCATTTGTCAAGCAATGTTGTCTTGGTTAATCATATTCTCAAGATTAATATATTACTGACAAGACCTGTATGCTTCTTACTGATATATCAATTTCCTACTCACTAATACTACTTCAAGGAAACTATTTAAATAATTTGGCTAGGTCACTGTTTCCAAATGCAGAAGTTGCTTAATAGATTTTTCCATTCTATTCACTAAGGAAAAATGACTAAAATAAAATTTTTTTGAGCTACAGAACTTTTATTTCATTTGTAGTGGTTTTGACATTTAATCTTAAACAGACATTTTTGTCATCTAAACTAAAATTTTGCACTGAGTGGGCTTTTATAATATGGCCTTGCTTTAAATATTCATTTGACAGAATTTAATAGCTGGTGTTAAGGAGGATATCAAAATTTCAGAATGTTAACTTTGAATATAAAAAGATTATACAAAAACTCACTTTTTTAAAAATCACATTTTCTGTGCTATATTTGTTATTTTAATTGATTAATAGCCATTAATTACTGATCTAGAATACAGAGTTCTAGCACATTTCCCTATTTTTGTTTTTCTCTTACAATTCTTAATTCTGGTTCCCTTTCCAGAATTGGACATCTCTATAACTGAGCAAATGATGACAAGCCAAATTAGAGTTTTCAGGAACAGGAAATTATTTAAACTGAAAATTTTCATTTTATCAGACAGGATACTGGCTTAATGACTGACTTCTGGAGTACTCTGAACTCACTTCTCCCTTTGAGTTATAAGATCTTCCTAATTACCTATCCCTTGAGAAGGACCTAGAAATCAAGTTAGGTTTATATATGAAACTTTGTTTTTCTCACAAGAGACTGGGAGCTAGTGGGTATACCAGGGTATATCTGTTCTATTTGATCAGTGTCTGTTTGTGGCCAGTTGTTAAATATTTTGAATACCACCTCTTTCTAGGAGTAAATAAGTAAAACATTGCTGAGGAAATAGTTACCCTATTTTCAGTTAAAACTCACCTATCTAAATTCTCTCTTATGAATATAAAGTACAAATCCATGATATTTTTATGCCTTATTATTAGTAGTAATATTTTAAATATTACATTAAAGAGATACACTTAATTTTTACTTACTATGGTTAAATGAATAAAAAGTCCATTGGTTTTAGTGTAGTAAAATATAATTATAAATTAGCAAAATAAAATACTTAATTTGCTCCTAAGTGCTGTTTTTCTAGTCTAAGAATACTTATTGGAGGTATTATGATTGCTCCTAGTTATTTTCTGGCCATTTACAAATTTACTTTAGCAACTTTTAAATTGTATACAGTTTTCCATCAAATTTTTATTTTAAAATTTTATTTCCAAAGAATTATAGGTGAGAACTAAGTCCCATTTCAATATGTAGATTCAAATGAAGAGGAAGGAACCCTTATTAATTAAAAAATCATTTGGATATAAATCACAGGGAGATTTTAGGTACTTACTTGTCATCTGTCTTTCCTCCTAGACAATATATCATCCCCTTATGTGAAATCACGTTATGGCCATAGACTTTGATAGGAAGTTTTTTAATTTCATTCCATTTTGCAGCCCTAAAATCAGAAGGTGATAGAATTTATATGCTTTCTGTAAATTTCAGGTTCTAAAAATATGAATATATCATAGGCACTCATATACTTAAATACTTAGGAAATGGGAATGTCAGGCCAACTTACACAGGATCATAGCATAATACTGAGTCCAGCGAAGCCTCTGTTTGAAGGTCTTTGCCTGCAACTACATAGATTTTGTCATCTACCTCTCCCAGACCAAAGAGACACCTCGCGGAAGGCAGAGGTGGAAGTCCAACCCACTCGGATGCTACATTATCAAGCTGAAAGAAAAAATATATGAGGAATTGTGGAACTTGTTAGAAAAATTTACAGGTGTACCAGAAAATACACTATACTTTAAGTGTTATTTAGAATTCATTGAGACAGTCAAAGATCTTGCAAATAAAACTATAATCCAAAAGTATATTTTACCTCTGAATTGTCTAGAAAAGTGAGAAAATCTACTTGACTTACCAAAAAGCTGAAAACCAAAATGTGCAAGACTTCAAGAAAGAAAGAAAAAATAAAACAGAGTCACCAGAGGTTAGAACTATGAAGTTCCTTGTGAAATTTTCTTCCCATGTTGCTTTGTCCATGTTTGAACAAGAAATAGTAATACTTATAGGACACTGGGGAATGCTGTCACTGCAGGGAGGGTCACAGCATGTGAGTGATCCCTGCATGCTATATATAACATGCTCTTCAAGCCAGCATCTGGGACAGCTGGACCTGTCGCTCAGTTCACAGACAATGAGAATGGTAGGGCAGTATCTTCTTTTCCTTCAAAAAATTTGAGGTTCCCTTTATTAATTTCTGATATAGGCAGGTGTTATAACCTATAACTTCCTAGCTTTTTGTTGAGAGTCATTTGAAATACCCTTCTCTCTCTTTTTTGATTCATATTAGAAACTAATTTTGCTTTTTTTTTTTTTTTTTGCCACTTCTGCAAGTCTAAGACAGCCCTCTAAGTACCTGCGCCACGGGGTAGGTGATTCTGGTATGGCTGGCATCAAATTCAGCTTTCTATTACTATTACAACTCACTATTGGTAATTTTAAGATTTTCCACTATGCATTTTAGGACACCAAAGCACAAGAAAACTGCTTTCTTGAGGTAGTGCAGTCACAGACTTGTTGATCTCTCTAGTGCTACTTCTATGTAGCAGAAGAAAAAGGAATAAAACCCAGAATAATTGGATACCAAGATTAGTTGCAGATATTAACATAAAAGCTGTGGTATAGGGAGGGGTGCCTGTGGAAGCCTACCTATATCTGGTCTAGTAACCTTGGTTAAAGCAAAGCACTAATTCAGACTGGATGAGATGAGTGGTTTAATCCTCACATGTGCATTGTTAGCTTTGTGTTCACTAATTTAGAAATCTAGATTGTTGACCGCTAATGTTTTCAGTTTAAAAAAAAAAAAAAAAATCTTTGATAAGAAAGTGGTATGTAGTACAGTAGAAATAATGAACATTTATGGTGTTTTTGACTCCATATGGAGTAAATGCTTTACATAGGTAATCTCACATAGTCTTCCAGAATAGGCACTTTTATTATCTGTTTTACAGATGAAAAAACTGAGGCACAGAAAGGTTAAATAATTTGCCAAACTCACAGAGCTTTTAAGTGATATTCAAATGCAAGCTACATAAATCCACAATTTGTTTTTTAAAATGGGAACAGCCACCAGAATCTCATGCTGGGGGGTTTACTGCTCACACTGTGGTACTGTCTACATCCTCACACTACCCCGATAGGGCATTTCCTACAAGCAGATGAAACAGTAGACTGCCTGCCGGGCTCTTTAATAGGTGAGCTGTCAAGCTATTTAACCTCTCTGGCTCCAGTTTCCTCATCCTTAAAATTAGGGTTTGGACCTAGATTATTTTAAGATGTGGTGCTGTTCAAAGATTTGATGAATTTATTAACTCTATGAAAAAAAACCCCCTCTAACCTATGTAAAAAATTCTCATACTCTATTTACAATATACAATCAAATGTCACATTATTTCTAACTTAATACATTTTAAACAGATGCGACCAAGCAGAGAAATGTAAAACCTGAAATTCTCATACATATATTTTGAGTCATAAACCTCTTTTATAGTAAGGTGTTTTTATTCTGGCATCTTATTCCACTTTGTGTCATAGGTAATGACAGAGAGTTGCCCTTTGTGTAACTTTTTGTAGTTATAAAGAACATTGAGCAGGTTTCTTGAACCAGAAATGAGAGGCTGTATCAATAAAAGTAAGGTTAGTTAACAGGATGGAAGAGAATAAAGATAAGGCTATAAATATTCCCTGAATCTATGAGTTCTAGTTATCTCTGTTTTGATGTCATTTTTACTTCCTAGATATAATTATTGCCTTTTAAATTGAATTTGTCCTTTCTGAAATTTATCTGAATTTAAAATTAGGGCTTAGGAAATTTTCTGGCCCGCATTCAATACTTATGATTACAATGTCTATTTTATTTTTATATATCATAATTAACATTCTTCAATAGAACTTTGAAAATTAATAATGATTAACATTATTAAAATAATTTTCAAGATCAGAAAAAGCTGGCTAAATGTAATATTGTGTTGAATGCACAGTATTTACACACTTTGAGAGTACACAGTGGTATGACATTCTACACTTACTTATCTTTGGTCTTTACAACTCATGTGCCCATAAATCCCAGGTCATGAATAGGTATGACCTAAACAAACTCTTTGAGATAGCTGTAAGCTACAAGTACTAGTGTTGGCATTACTGAAGATAGAGGTGAAGCCACTGATTCTTTCACAAACTGATAAAGTACAGTGCATTGATAATATGAACAAACTCCCTTCAGACAAACTACAGCCTATTTAGGATGACTTGTTTTCTTGGAAACTTCTTTGGTTTCACAAAACAGATTAAATTGTAATAATGTCTAGTATAATCATATAATGTCACATATAAAAATTATAAGTAAAAATATCTAAATATTGTTAAACAATTCAAATTAGTGACACTGGTGCAGTTTTTTCCTAGAAGTTTATTCGAAGTATGTAAAATATACATACAAGTTCTCTTCATTTTCAACAGAATTATATTATAGACAGTAACCATAAATAAGAGATGAAATGCTACCACTAAGAACTTCAAATTGGTCCAAGTTTTCTTGAACTTGGAATGTCTAGTATATATACAAGTTTTTTCATTTTCAACAAAATTATAGACAGTAACCATAAATAAGAGATGAAATGCTACCACTAAAGACTTCAAATTGGTTCAAGGAAACTTGGAAAAAAGTAGAAAATCTGATCAATTATAGCTTTTTTTTGGACTGGAAAAAGATATCAAGTAAAATAAAATGCAAACAGCCTGAATAATTCACGAATCAGCCTTTCTTACCTGGAAGAAGTAAGACTGTAGAGGTTGATCCTTATTTTCTTCATCCACATATAGTCCTCCCACCACATACACCTGATTTTGTTGGGTTACAATGCTGGAATGATTTCTGGGAATCTGTTCAGCCAAAGCAGTAAGGTAGCATTCATTTTCTGTGGGATCATAAGCAACTGCAGCTGTGTCATTAACCAAGAGGATGAGGTCTTTGACAAACATTCCATGCCTGGGAATGTCATTCAGGTAACCAGGAAGCAAATCTTCATCACCAACATCTCCATTCACCTCACCAGCCCCAGCCTTTTCTGTATTTTTGCTTGGTTCTGGGAGTTTGCCTGCAAAGGCATCTTTGAGAACTTTGATTTTTTTCTGGAGTTCTGGGTTGCTTTTAATTATATCATCTTTCTCAACATAATCTTTAAAATATTTTTCTTTCATAAGGCGAAAACGGATACAATCAAACACTTCGCTAAGGTTTTTAACCCTGTTTTCTTTGTCTGTTCGCACCCATTTCATCACTGCCTCAAATACTGCTTCTTCCTTTTCTACATTTAGGCTGTCATTTGAAATGACTGAGATCAGTTCCTGTGGAGATAGTTGCATAAAGTCCTCTTCCTTACAAATCTGTGCAAAGCGATCAGACACAAATTCACGGGCAGAGATGGCAAGTCTTGGGCAGTCAAGAAGAAGTCCTAATCTTAGGATGGCTAGACAGTTACCAGGTGCAAGTCTTTTCTGAAGATAAGAAACACAAACAGTGAACACTGAGGGGATCTGAAAGCGGCTGGCCAATGCAAAAATATCTTGAACGTTTCCATCGTTGAGGTCAATAGTGGCAGAATAGAGGTACTTGATGATTAAATCCAGTACAGCAGGATCCACATTATCTAATACTACCTCCTTTTTTTTCATCTCATCAATTTCAGATAAAAAATACTCACGGAAGTAAGGACTACAAGCTGACAAAATCAATCTGTGGCAAGGAAGACTTTTATCACCTGCTTTTAGGGTGCAATCGATGAATTTTTTCTCATCCAGGAGATCTTTTAGACCATCCTGAAGAAGGGTGGATTGGTAAAGCCTCAGTTCCTCCGCGAGTTCCCGCTGGGAATCCATTTTGTGAGTAACCTGGGTAAGGAAGGGGACACTGAAGGCTTTAGCTCCTCACAGCACACAGGTCTAGCTGTAAAAAGGCAGATCAGTGTGCTTTGCCCAGCTTGAAGCCTTTGCAATTTAATCCCACCAGCTAAATATAGATACCAACTCTAACAACGGGAATTTAGGAGAGCTAGTTTGGAAAGAAGAGTTGTTCTTGCAGCTGTTAAAGATCGAAAGGAACAACTGAAACTTTTTATCACCAAGGAAACAGCTAAGAAACAAGAGATTTAAATGAAGTGGAAAGCTTTAAAACATTAAAAGCATTAGAAGATATGCTAATAAAGGCTACCACAAGAAAATGTTTATTAAACTATCAGAAAACTGAATCATAAAAATGAGTCAGTCCACTAAAAATGGTCTAGTGGCAAGCTACTTGGCTATCTGGATTAATGATGCAAAGGTCAAGAATATGAGGTGAGTTCATTTGAATACTCATAAGTGAGATCCTCTTTCCAATAAGTGTTACAAATTTTTATTTTTGACTTAAAACAGTATTTATATAATTTTCTTACAGAAGTAGGAAATTTAAAGATTTCTACATATGTACTAGTTTAAAAAAAGAAAACCTCAAAAATAATACCCCCTCATTAATGAAATAAATGCAGAGAAACTGCTCATTTTCTAAGACATTCTAAATATCTTTATTCTTAAGTAGAAAAACTGTAATTAATATTGGATACTAGTATTGAATTAAATTATAAAATTATTTAATTTATTCACACTCTGCCTTGCTCTACAAAGTATTTGATGTGGAAAATAATAACAAAACAAGTAAAGGCAAAAGGTTAAAAGGACTCAAGACCAAAACAAAAAAGAAATAGTTTAAAGTCAATGCTGAGGAAATAAACAACCCTTATGCAACAATATGGTCACTAAAGATATTCTGTGATTTTAGGTGTTGAAGATGATCTTTCATTAAAGAAAAAGTTAAAAAATAGAACAGATGTAACCCCATGAAAACAAGGTTATCAATAGAACATAGCAAAATCAGGACGAAGTGTCATATCACCTGTATAATTTGGAAAACAGGTCTTATATATAAAAAAGAAAAAAAATGTATAAGTGGATCATAATTTAAATCGATTATAATAGAACATATTATGAAATGCAGAAGGCATGATTTGAAAGAAAATTGATGTTTATATACAGATAGGATCATGTATTTGTTCATGAAATGCTTTATCACAAAATTATAGTCACATTTTCTGAACGCAGTGGGGCTGTAAAAATACTGTAATTTCAAAGGTTGGTATTCTTAAACACGCTTAAAAGAACATAAGCTCCATGAAGACACAGATTTTTAAAATTTGGTTTGTTCAATGCTATTGCTCCAGGGCCTTGTGGGTGCTCCATAAATATTTGTTGAATAAATGAATGCCCTTAGATCAGGGAATTATGTAGTTTTAAACTTCAAGATCTCTATCCATGAGTAAAGATTTCTCTCATTTTACATCATGGTGAAGTCAGTAGTACTGTCAGCTGCTAAAACAACAGCTGAAAGAAGAGCTCATTGACTTTTTCCATTTATAGATGCCACTACGTTTTATCATACTAGAAAAAACTAACAGCTGCTCCCTTGTTTAAACAATAAATGACTCATTTCTCTCTACACGTAACACCTAACATTTGAAAAGATTAATGAGTCAGATGCAAACACCATATGACAGACATTTGAGATTATTCTTTACTAGTTGGCAATTTTATAGTCTCCTTTGCTTGAAAAACTATTTAAATATTCCCATAGTATTTTGTGATCTGTATAAATTTTTCCAACTTTTTTCCCCTGTAATACAGGTTGGTTGTTGCAACCCTATCTCTTAAAAAGGTAGAAATCCTTTCCTATTTAAATAAACCACTTTATAGCTTTTGTTCATTGGTTTTTATTAAGACTTAGGTTAGCACTTGGTTGTACTATGTGTTTATGGTTGCCTACATATAATTAAACCTTATTTTAAATGTTTTTACACACTCTTCCCTCTAGAGAAAGTGGGCTCCTTTGGATAATTTCAATGATTTGACAAAGGTTCCTTATGATGTTTCTTTATACCAAAGAAGTGGCAAAAAACAATGATTCCAGAGAAGTCACCAAATCTTACCTAATCAAGAAATCAGAAAATAATATCCTATTTTTGAAAACTTCAAAGAAGTTTCAATGAATACAAACAAGGAGAAAGTTAATAAATGAAGTATTTATTTACAAACTATTTAAAACTATTTACTTACAAATAAATGTATTCTTGCCAAAACTATATTAAAATTATTTACAAAATGGTGCCCAAAACTTTACATAAAGATCAATATATTCCAGAGATAGTTATAATTTTTAGTTTTTACAGAAATTATCACCAAAAATGACAAATTTAAGGGTCATAATATTAGCCTTGGCTACATTTGGAGCTAATGTGATAATATAGTTAAAGCAGATTTTTATAATTTAAAAAGCTGTATTTTGTTTACTTCATAAGAATAGTCTTATTCTTTTAAATAATACTTTCAAAACATTAAATGGTGCTGCATAAATTTTTTATTAAACTCAACATGATACAGTCATTTAATATCCATAGACTAAAAATTTACAAGTATTAGGTACAAAATAAACATATTTACAAACCAGATACATTTTGGTTACAGTTTTAAATATAATTTTTAGAAAACTGGCAGTAAAATCTTAGATAAATGAATTTCTCCTTAATCATTAAAAAACCCTTTCTTAAAAGCTGTTCTGTAAATGTGAAAATTTTTCCATGCCTTCTAGCAGGGGACTAGGATCTTTAATCTTGAGATATCTTTAAATAGAAATCCAGCTCAACTCAAGATCAACTCATTACTTCCCACAGTCCCTGCAGGGTGAATCCATCCTTCAATTTCTCTATTGCAAGCCCCAGTTCTTCTGAAAATACTGGTTCACGGTCTTGTTGCTTTTTGGGAGATAAGAGGATGAGATGGGAATAGAGAAGGTGGGCAAGGAAGAAAAAAAACAAAAAAATAGGTTTCACATAAGTTTGTGAATACTAAATGTTGGAAAATAGAAAGTTTCTTTTTATATACTATAGCTAAAATATCCTTACCTTATTGCCATCAGCAAAATAAGCCTATAAGACAAAGAAAATTATATTTCACATATTTGATATAATATGTTGGTGGGCTAAAGAACAGATAATTTACAGAACAATTCTATGACTAAATATTTAATATTCTGCTATGTGTCTAATGGCTCTTCTCAATTATCTTTATAATGCTGGTACCAGAATTCATTTTTTCTATCTATGTTTATTAAAGTCTTCAAGAGTTATGCTTTAAGCTCTAAAAAATGTGCTTTGTAATTAATGTATAATTAGCATTGTTAACCTGAAAGGAGATAAAGAGAATGACTTAAAAGGTATAAAATTTCATCCGTACTTTTCATTTAGAAGACGATGCTGCCAAAACAAAACAGTCAGTGCTTCAATATGTGTCAGCAAATGCATATAGTTTAAGATAGTAGTAGTAGTTTATAATTAAATATTTTATACTAATTTCACATTTTTGTTTAAAAATATATGTTCCCAGGTAGGCGTTTTGGTCAGATTTATAAATTACAATATAAATTAAGTATTATTATTATTTTGGCTATTAATTAAATAATACAAATTTGGAAACAGGAAAGTTTATTATTCAAATAGATATCCATTTTAACATACCTATAAATTGAAGGGAAGTCCATCTTATAAAAAGTAATTATAGGAAATACAGATTTTAAATTAACTTAATTAACTATATTTCTTTTCACATATCTGAAATCCTATGAATAATTGTGTTCTCAAACTATTTCCCAGTTTAGTAATTTAAAAGTATTTCCATATACACAAAAAAATGCCTAACTTAAAAAAAAAATTACTCTCCAACTAATGTTTAAGATATTCTCAAAAGTATCAAGTTCTATGGTGTTTTACACACTTAAACCATTATTTAATAAAACATGACTCAGGTAAAAAAAAAATCAGGAAATTTAGTAGCTCTTCTTTATGATGCTCACCACGAAAGCATCTGTGTGATCATCAGACTCTATTTCTACATCATCTTGAATTTGTTCAACTGTCAGAGCTTCAAGGGGCTGTGGCTGAAAAATCAGTAGATGTTAAAATGCATCAAAGAGACAATACTGTTAAACAAACAATTTTAGTAAAATGTGCTAATTGTAAATATTTGTAAAAGAATAACACAATTACAAACTACTCAAGTCTTATAAAAATCCTTGCATAACATATTCTAATAAAACTAGTGAGTAATAAAATGAGTCAGTTAAACCTAAGCTTTTAAATCTGAAGTAACGATCATCGAAAGAATTAAAATGACAAATTTACATACATTTGACATGATACTTCGAGATATCCTTAAAGAAAAAACTCTCACTGGATTTTATCTGATTTTCTTTCACGTAGTTAAAAAACTAAGTTTTGTATTATAGCAAATTTTAAATTTTCCTCAAAATAGTCATTAAATAGGATTTGTGAAAAGAACTAATATTTGTATGAAGTATTCTAAAGGTAAAGCAGAATAAAATATAACACTCATATTTACTAATACATACTATTTTATGTATTAGGTACTATAATAGTACTACCAAGGGTATAAAGTCCCTGCCCTTACCCACAAAAGGTTTATAGTCTAGTGACGGTAGTAAGAAGGATAAAACACAATTACAAATAACTAAATATTAGGTTGAACCACATGAAATTGCCAGTTTTCTTTCCTGAAACTGGTCAAATATTAACAATATATGGTTCAACCTATGCAAAGTAGCTGTAACAAATGCAGTTATCTATTATAATAAAAGTTTGGAGACAGCACAACTTCTAGCTTGTGAATCCCACAAACTTTCATGAAGAAAAGGTTAGCATATGAGCTAGGGCTTTTAGAATGAGGATGATTTTCATAGGTAGGATTAGGGGAAAGGGTATTGCTGGCAGTGGGGATCAACATCAGCAAAGGTAAGAAACCACAGGATGAGGATGGAGAATGATGAATAATCCAGTAAAGTCAGAATATTTCAGTAAGGTCGGAATATAACGGCCTTTGAGACAGAAGGAGCTAAGTAGGGCTATTGTATTGAAAAATACCAGGGAGCATCATTCGCACTAAAGTCTATGTGAACAATGTTCTCTAGTTTGGCAGTGCAGAGCATGCACAACTAGACACTGTGGCAGATAATGTGGGAAAGGTAAATTGAAGTCTATTGAAATGTGGGAAAGGTAAATTGAAGTCTACCGAAATTCTTTAATACCAGCCCAAAGAATTTAGACTTTATTACAGGTAAATGCTGGGGGACAGTTGAGGGTAGAAGTATATTGCTTGACAAGAGTGAACTGATTCTACAATCTGAGGTTAGCTTCAGTGTTTCAACCATGCTCAGAGCTGTGTGATTGTGTATAAATAATTTAACCTATCTAAGCCTCAATGTCTTTAACTGGGAGATTGATGATGGTGATGATGATGATGATGATAACGATAACGATAACGATATACTTAGTATTTTTGAGAGGATTAGAGATGATGCATACAAAGTTCTTAGAGCAGTGAATGGCAAACAGTAGGTGTTCAACACAGTCATTCAACAACTATGAAGAGGCACTAAACCTATTACGTGCCAGTTTAGACTGCTGGACATACAGTGGTTGAATAGACAAAAATCTCTGACTTCATGGAGATTATTTATAGTAGAGGAGACTGATTAGTGTTACCAAAAATAAAGCAAGTAACCAAGCAGAATAAGGGACAAAAAGTGATGGGGGTTGTTGCTATTTTGGATGGATAGTCAGGGAAGACCTCTCTGAAGAGGTGGCTTTGGAGTAAGAACTTAGATGAGGTGACAGGGCAAGCTATTATGGCTGGCTATTATTATGTACTGGGGCCAATGAAGGGGAAAAGAGGAGAAATGGAAGTTAGAGAGAGAATGGGTAGGAGAACTAAGATACTGAGTGTCTCCCGTGTGCCAGGCATTTTATGAACATATCAATAACTTTGTAAGAGAGACTATCTTCATTTTATGAGAAAACTGAAACTCAAACTGTACTGGAATCAAAAGTAAATGGTGAAATTGGGATTGAAATCAGGTTTGTATGGAAAGGAAGGGACAAGAACAGAGAAGAGATGGGTAAAACTGACTAAATGTAGAAGATAAGATAATGGAAAAAATAAAAAAGGAAAACTCTAAGGTTTTGTGCACAACTAACTTTGACAATGCTAAAAAAAAATAAGTAGTAAATAAACAGATAAATCAGTAGTTTTAGGTATGCCAAATTTAAGACACTCATCCAAGTCCCAGTGTATCTTACTGACTTGGAAAATTATTATCCTAATTAAATTACTAAAATAAACATTTAAATGAGAAATTCAATTTATGTTTTTTTTGGAATGCTCATCTATGTGAAATATTCAAGAATATTTAGAACCATGATAAGCTGAGAGTATATGTCAAGATTAGAAAGAAAGATACATTTGGGAGTCATCTAAGTCATCTACAGAAGTATAAGTTGAAGAACCTGGAGGAGTGGGTGATATTACTGAGGAATGAAAGGGAGAACACTGAAAGAAGTGTAGGTTGGGAAGAGAACAGAAAAGGATGGTTAAGGAAATGAAATATAAGGAACGTTATGTTTAATACAACATCACCAACCTAGGGAAAAGTTAAAGAGGGTATATATGGAATTTGACAAGGAGGGAAAAAATTTAAGTACAAGGAGCATTACCAGGTAACAAGGGCCTAGTGGAAGTCAGAGGGTGTGAATTTGTACTTAGCTGCCCAGCTCTACTTCCTGATTTTCTGTGGTCACGTGCTGTAGTCCAAGAGCAGGAGAGATACAGAAAATATGTGATGTGTGATATGGCTCAACATGCTGAGTACCAGCAGGGACACTGATGAAAAAGTGAATGACAAGGACACCAGCAACAGAGTGTACAGTAAGGGCCCAAGAGAACAGACAGCAAGAGAACCTGTGACAGCAGTCAATGAGGGCACCAGAGAGAGAGCCTGTGGCAAGGGTACAGCTGATATAGCAGACAGCAAGGACACCTCTAATGCAGTGGCTGGTGAGTGATAGACTAGATGACAAGGGTCCCATAGTGATAGACTAGATGACAAGGGTCCCAGCTGGAGAGGCTGCAGAGTAAAGCCAAAAGAGAACTGATGTACCTGGAGAACAGAGATTGGTGCAGAAACCAGAAATCATGAGGAAGGCAAAGTGCAGGCATGTGAGGGTGATATTCAAAATATTTCATAACTGGTATGGCTGGGCACTGGTGGTAGTAATAAACACAAGCCATACTGGTGGAGCAGATTCCTGGAGTTGCTATGCTGTTGGGCCTTCGGGAAAGAAAATGGTATC